TCGGGAACCGGAGCCGCCTTGGGACCGTGATTCGAAAAATCACGTCACACTACTCACCCCCTCCCTTTAGGCTAATGGGCGGCGATTCGCCCTGCGGACGAATCCTTCAACCCAGCGTCTTTGCCACGCGCCAGTTTCGAAGATGTCATCGCGACACTTAATAATTTCCATCATCTCTTGTGGATAATTTCTACATCTCAGTCCCACGAAGAGTAACATTCGTTCTCGCGCGAGGGTGTACCAGGCGTCCCTGGATTCCCAACTCGCGGAAATATAATTATGCGCAAACTGACGATGGGCGCTATGCCATAGGGGTCGGTAGTGGTGCTCAGTCGTGTAGCGCTATACGCGCCGCTTCCAGACGTCGTGGTTGAGTACCAGCTGAGTAGAGCGCGTTGCTGCCGCGTGACGTCAAGCTGTCCCGCGTTGCGCGCGCCTCCGGGGACAGTAGAGCTGCTGTCCGCAGATAGCGCGAGTGTCGACCCTCGCGTGTCGCAGCTCCCTTCCTCCTGGGACTCCAGCTGGCTCTCCCTCTCTTGTTCTCCGCGTCTTCACGGGCACGGCGAGCGAGCACCTATTCGAACTCCGGCAGAGTACACGCAAAACAAAAGAAAATAATAAAATCGTCTATCGTAATTTAACTTAGGCCCTTGCGGTCGGTGGATCCTGCCTGGACTTTGCTATGGCCTTTCGGCCCGTATCGCGTTTCAGCGTGATTTTCCGCCGATTTAAGTTCTTGGACGTACTATATGAATAGACGTACGTATACGTAGAATATAATCGCAGGCTGTTTGTTTGGTCGAATGTATGTTTGTTTGTGTATGTGTGTGTGTGTGTATGTGTGTGCTGGTTGTGTATTTATTTCGTTAGTCTTTCGGTGGCTTTTCGAGCGAACCAATTCTTCTTAGTGGAAATCTCGTTGCCTCGAAAATGCCGTTGCAGTTTATCACGAGTCAGAAAGGGTCAAAGTTCCTGTGTGCGATAGCTACATATTCGTGAAGCATAGTGTTAGCGGCAACAAAGTTATCTGGAGGTGTTCCAGTTATCACAGAACGAAGTGCGGTGCCCGATGTCACATAAGTAGTGATAAGAAAAATGGTAATATTAATTGATCGGGCTGAATGAATTTTTCATGTGATGCCGTGATTATTATATTCGCATTATTTATTGGTTCCATTTTTGTGTCATACAGGTGTCATACTCAAGCGCACTGATCATAATCATGCTGCCGATGCGGCTGCAATTAATGCCAAAGAAGTCGTGAATAAAATTAAAAAAGCTGCTCTTCGATCTCATGACAGATCGAATAATGTTGTCGCTAGGGGTACTTTGTCAGTGCCAGCAATTGTTGCAGCAGAACTCCCGTCAATGAAATCGCTTTGTCGAGTAGTGCAGCGAGTGAGAGTAGTGGCCGCGGCACCACCGCCAATTCCTCGTACCGTTGCCGATCTTGTACTTAGCGAGGAATGTACACAGACGATCCGGGGTAAAATGTTCCTGCAGTACGATAGCAACGATGATCAGCGTTTTTCGATTTTTTCAACAAAGCAGAACTTGAGCATTTTGCAAAAATGTGATCATTGGCATGCAGACGGGACTTTCCGAACCGTGCCTAATATATTTCTTCAATTGTACACTGTACATGGAATATACAAGGGACTCACGTTTCCTCTTGTTTACGTTTCGTCTTCTAGTAAAACCACACAGTCCTATCGTGCAACATTGGAGCAAATTAAAGCGTTGAAGCGAAAACTAAATCCGAAGACTGTTATGTGCGATTTCGAGCTGAGTTTCATCGATGCTGTTAAAGAAGTTTTCACAAATACTGACGTCCAGGGATGTTTTTTTCACTTCTCTCAGTGCGTGTGGAGGCACGTGCAGAGCACCGGGTTGCAGCAAAAGTATAAGACCAGTGCCGTATTCGCATTTGAAATTCGTAAGCTCTGGCGTTCGTTCCGGTGAAAGACGTCGTTACTGCATTTGAAAGACTTGTGCGAACGGAATATTTCGTGGAGAATGAAGATAGTTTAAAATCGATTGTGGAATATTTTAAGTTCACATGGATTGGTTGTTTGAATCGCCGTGGAAAATTGCGGAATGTACGTTTTCTTCTTCAATTGTGGAATTGTTATTCGCAGACGGTGGAAAATTTACCGCGGACAAATAACAGCGTGGAGGGGTGGCATCGTGGGTTCGCTCAGTGGCTTCAGGCGTTGCACGTCAGCATTTGGAAATTCATCGATACTATGAAATTGGAGCAGAATGTGCAGGAAAATCGACTGGAGCAGCTTATTGCTGGCGAGCCCCCGAAAAAAAAAAAAACAAATGCGCTACGAGAATCGGCTGAAGAATATTGTTTGTGATTACGAAAATCGTGACATAATTTCATATTTAGCCGGTGTTGCGTACAACATTGCGATGTAATTGTGTACGCTCTGTTGTATAGTGTATGATAAACATGAATTATACGTGAATTATATTCACATGTGTGTGCGTATGCGTGTGCGTGTGCGTTTGCGTGTGTGTTTATTCATCGATTGTGTGTTTTTGTAAATTGCAAAATTAAGAAATTCAGAATTGTTGATAAGTTATTGCATTGTGGATACATTGTTGTGTTGATGAAGCTCGTGGTTGGGAGTTTAATTAATAGTAGACACGTGGTTTAATTAAACTAATGATATATTAATATGATATATTGTTACGTCTCAGCCCACCTATATACGATACTAGTTAACCCATACATATACACAGCCACTTATACCCATGGTCAACCCATATTATTATTGTTATACCCTAACCTATACAGACATTATACACACACATATGTCGATTAATCGTTTGATATAACTAATTTTATTGATTTATACTTATAAGTTTATACTTTTGTCTTGTTTTATATTCCGTTATATTATTGGAATCTTTAATTACGTTATCACTTATTTGACCGGAAAATGTTACGCTTATTATTTCTATCAGGTATTATGTTCTTAAGGAATTTGTCATACCAATCCTTTATTATGTCTTGAAATAAAAGATAAACCTGAAGCTCCTCGAGACTAGCAGTACTGGCGAGGTTTCAGGTACAGAATTGGAAGACTCAGGTATGCAACAACAGATAGATAATTGTTAGTACTCTGATTTGTTAAGTGATCATTGAGAAAGGGAATTAAAGACCAATCAAATTCATGAGAAGTAATGGAAGGGATAAGAAACGAAGTCTTTAAAAGGGGTTGGAAAGCCTAAAAAGTCAGTTTTCCAGTTCGAGTTCTAGTTCTTGACCAGTGGAGCAGTGTGGCGTTGTGAAGTACATCAAGAAGTCTTGTAAAAGAAGTGCAAAGAAAAAGTCAAAGTTAGAGTCGAAGTCTAAAGTTCTAGGAACTCATATTCTCTTCAATTCAGTTTTTCGAAGTTATACAAAGTGAAGCATACCTGGTGACTCTAATCTGCAAGTTTTGTGAACCATCATCATCATTATCATTCACAAAACCCTGATTACAATCTCATTTGGACTGAGGGTCCATCCAAACCACCTCATTGAATCTTCATACTTCCAAGGAAAGCAATAAAAGGAAACAGTTGAATTCCCTGGAAATCATTGGGTAAGCCTACGAGTGCACTCACATACAATCAGGTACACACAATAATTCATTCATACCCAGAATATCTAACTTACATAAGACGGATAAAGAATACCCGAGCAAAAAATCAATCAATTCGTTCAATTAAAATTCGTTCTAGTTTCATTAATCGGGATATCATATCAGACTCAAAGAACAATCCTCCTCGTATCGATCAAGGTACCCTCTGGAACCTATTTCCTATTTCTACCGAATCTTATCTGCTGAAACAATTGACATAACGCGTGGACGTACCGTTTAGCACCGGGAAATCTGACCAACGAACCATCCTAACTACCTTTTCTAAATCAGCATTCACGAAATCTCTTGAATATTGAACGTAAGAACTTAACCATATTCTGCGTATTTAGAGAGCGATCGTAACAATATATATAATGTTGGTATCAAATGTGTTCGCGAGTTGGCGGACCTCGTGTCCGTTCCGTTTGACGATTGACAAGCAAGAGGGTAAGAGAGTGTACCGCGAGTCGGCCGCTGCCGCTAGCCCACGGATCACGTGAGACTCCGTAGTGGAGAGGCGCATATGTATGAGTGTATGTGTGTGTCGCGCTCAGCTGAGTCAAGCGTAGCGCGCCCGTGTATAATATTGTAGGATTAAGATTGTAGTATTTATCATTATTCAACACGCCTCCTTAAATTTACTATCTTGATCCTTTACATATTTAATTAGGTTTAACGCTTTTCTGTTATTGACAAATTTTGTCTTATCTAAACTCTTAGTAAACATATCTGCTAAATTACAAATTGAATCAATTTTCACAATATCAATAATTCCATTTTTGTAATTTTCGTTTACATAATGATATTGCACTTCGTTGTGCTTTGAGTTTTTTGTGAAATTTCCAAACTTTGCTATTGCAACTGCACCTGAGTTGTCTTCATACATTTTTACAGGATTTTCGAGATTTACATTAAAAGATTCGCTTAACAAGTTTCTAATAAACAATATTTCGGTTACAGCCTCTGACATAGCAGTATATTCCGCAAATGTGGAACATTTCGTTACTGTGCTTTGTTTATGAGTTCTCCAATAAACTAAATTTCCATATAATCGAATTAGAAAACCTGTTGTTGATTTTCTATCTACATTTTCACCGGCAAAGTCGGAATCTACCATACAATCTAGTATTTCACAATTTACATCATCATAATACGTTAGTTTTAAATCTTTAGTTTTGTACAAATATTTTAGAATTGTCATTGCATATTTGAAGTGTGTTTGATTATAACAACTTTGAAAACGACTTAGATAATTAATACTATAAGCTATATCGGGCCTTATGCCTGTGCTAATGTATAATAATTCGTCCATTAAATTTCTATATTTAATTGATTCATCGATTACGCTTGCTTTTTCTAATTTTAGATTTGCTTCCATTGGGGTATCATATAGTTTTGTATTTTCTAATTTATACTTTTGAGCCAAAGATTCAATATATTTAGTCTGACTCAATGTCATTTTTCTTCTATCTTTACTATAATCTATATCTATTCCTATGTATTGACCTACTTGACCTTGATCTTTCATTGAAAATCTTTTCATGAGACTAGCTTTGATTTGGTTTATTTTATTTTTGTCTTTATAGCAAATTAAGAGATCATCTACGAATACTAATATATATTGTGACGTGATTTTTCGAATCACGGTCCCAAGGCGGCTC